CGAACATGGGTAGTTTCGCCAGTAGACCTTCGTGCCAAACTCGGTCGAAGGCCTTTGAGACGTCAAGCGAAACCAAGTGTGTTTCCCCGTGGTTATCAAGTGGAGCTGACTTGGATTGTGAGACAAGAGCCAGAAGGTCACCGGTGGAACGACGCGGTCGAAAGCCATATTGGCGGTTGCTCGGTAGTCCGCGTTCAAGGAACGTGCGTAGCTGGTCAGAAATGATAGTTTCAAATACTCTCAAAGGAACAGACGTGAGGGAAATGGGTCAGTAATCGTTGGGGTTAGAAAGGTCACCGCGTTTGGGAATGGGAAAAATCACAGCGTGCTTCTAGGGGGTTGGAAAGGAAGAAAGTTGGAGGGAAAGACTGAAAAGACGACGTAAAACAAGAGTACACATTTTGAGGACGATGGGTGGAATACTGTCCGGATCGGGTGGTTTGTTTACGTTTAGAGAGCGCAATATTTGATGGATTTTCCTTGTGCTGTTATGAGGTATAAAAGGGTTGCCAGTGAAGAAGAAAGATGGAGGTGTAGAAAAATGGGGTAAGGTGTAATTGGTGGCAAACTGGAAAGCAAAAACCTCAGCTTTCTCGTTTGGTTGACATACAAGATCAGCAGAGGAATTGCAGATAGGGGGAAATCGGAAGGGCATAAATTACGGGAAATCGCTTTGGCAAGGGACCAAAATGTTCGGCTACCGGTGGCGGACGAGACTAAGTTTTCAGCTTTACGGCGAACGAAGCGTTCTTTGGTTCTCTGAATGGTCGTCGAGCATCTGTTTCTAGCTTGCACGAAGCGATGGTAGGAGACGGGGTGGGCGAGCGGCGCCAGCGACGGAAGGCTGAACGTTTATGGCGTACAGCACGGTCACATGCATGGTTGAACCACTCAGGGGATTTGGGTTTACCGGGTTTGGAAAAGTGCGGAATAAAAAGATGCATACCTTGAAGAACAACGTGGGTGAAGTTGGAAACGGATTTGGAAACATCCGAAGAGAAACAGCAGTCGTTCCAGGGATAAGCAGCTAGGAAATCACGGAAACCGTCCCATTTGGCTAAGTTGTAGCGCCAAATTGTGTCTCGAGGTGGGTGATAGCTTGGAGTTTGAAAACCTAATAAAACAAGAAACAATACAGTGATCTGATGAGCCAAGAGGAGGGAGAGTACGAATATTTGAGAAGAAGGGACCGAGGTGAGAATTAGATCTAGGGTGTGGGCATGATCGCCAGCTCGATCAGGGGCACGTGTGGGGAGGTCAACTAGTTGGCTCAGGTGGTTGACCGAAACGAAGTGTTCGGCTTCGCGCCCCAGTCAACCAGTCCCGATTGTGAACGTTCGAATCTCCCAAGACGGTAACATTGCAGTTGGGGTTGGTTGCAAACAAATGTTCAATGTTCGAAGATGGGAGAGTCGCCGCTATTGGGGGACCGATAAAGAACACAAAAGTAATGATTAAAGGAAGGAACTCGGAGTTTCAACCACATCAGCTGGAATTCACGATTGGAAAAGTCAAGATTTGGGATCCTGGAGGCGGCGACTGATTGGTGAATAAAGGTGCAGACACCAGCTTTGGGTAGAAAGGAGGAATGGAGAGTGTAGTTGGGAAATTGAAGGTGGGTGGTGTCTGACCAGGGGGAGATTTGTATTTCGATCAAGAAAAAGGGCGAGCGGGGAAGAAGAATGGAGAAAGTGGTGTACAGAATCAATATTGCGGTTCAGTCCGCGAATGTTGATGAGGGTGATGAGTGCGTGCTTACAGTCTGAGTGCATGAAGTGAGCGAGAGTACGTGAGTGTTCGTGATTTTGTATATTTATGCATATGTTGTGAGGGATCCGGCAACCATGATCCTGATACTTGGAGTGGCGGACCACATAAGGCTTCAATAGATCAGATGTGGTAGTTAGCCGGATGACCGCAGAGGCGCCTACCACCTTCTGCACATGTTAGGAACACGAGCGGATACCACTTAGCGTATTGTCGATCGGCATTGGACTATTTATCGCAGTCATGCCTGTTACGCACTGCAGGCGTAAGCACAACTGTTTAAAGGAAAGCTGAGGGTGTTGGCCCGATTTGACTTATTGTTGAGAATGGAATACACATCTAGTTGCTATGATTTTTATCCAGTAAATCCGAACAGAATGTCGCCAGCTTCTTCATTCAAAAAAAAAACAAGTAACAGAATTTGATTAACGGGAATGAATTGATGCTAGAACGAAGTGCCGTCTACCAGCAATGGCCGGATTGCGGACGACTTTGTGCTTCTATTCGAGTGAATGTGTAGCAGGGTTCACAGATTACTGTGAAGCCATCCGAAATCGTGCAACGATGACAATAATGAAACTTAAGCTACCGTTGAATGATAACAGTGTCATTGATTAAACAATAGAAACGGAATGTTTAACGATGTTTTCTCCAATGGCTCATGTTGGTGAAAGTGACTTTCCCCTCGGTGAGTTTGTTGCTGTATTTTCTCAGGACCTGTTGCAAGACTGACAGTCATCATTCCGTTTCAACGTGTCTTTCGATTGTAAATTTCCAGTAACCGGTTCTTCTTCCGCTTCGTATATCTACCTTTGCAGCTTTTCAGCGCTTATGACACCAGCTGTATACGAACGTATACGACCGAACGCCCCGTGAACGCAGCAGCCATCTCTCCAACTCGCGATCACGTAAGCACAATTTTTCGGTGTATAACTCGCCACTATTTATGGACAGTTGCCTGGGATTAATGCTTTTGTTTTGAACTGACTTAATCGTAAATTCATCCGGTCACTCTTATACACACGGGAATCACTAGACCAGAGTTATGCTCTTGTTAGAGTCCATTATCTACTGTTTCACCACGGGGCTTGAGTTCTGAACCCATCCTTCAGGATATGTCACCGCTGCCTGTCAGCTCGCACCGCGTTGACCGTCATTGCCGATTTACGTTTAGTCGGTTATTTGTTGACTCTATTTTTAAAGGAAGACACTGTGTAACTTATGTGCGTTAAATTTGTCCGCGAGTTACGTTCTTCAAACATCAGACGCAGTCGAAGTCCGTTCAGTAGGCCAAAGCGGGGTAGGTATTATACTCAGTAACAGGGCTGAGTTCTCTCTTATAGATTGGATTTCTAGGGTTCAGTTTGTATCCAGATCCTCGGATAGAATACATCCATCAACTGTTGATTTTCGGCAACCGATACTTACGTAATTTATCCCACGTGAGATAACGGGAACGGATTAACAATCTGAAGGCAATTTCCCGTGTATTCCGGTGTTTATCGGCGATGAATTTACCGGCTCTTCCAATTCAGATTAGTAGGACTCGCTGTTTAGGGCATGTGTAGCGTATACACAGTCGTCGTCTGCTACACCACGCTTTATTTGCCGTAGCCGCTCCGGGTTGGAGGAAACCCCGTGGAGGTTGACAGATGAGGTGGAGACGACTCATGATAAAGTGCACCGAGCTATTTGGTAGAGTGTCTCACACTTTCCAGATTGAGGTCCGAAGGATTGCATTGGTCGGTTGGAGGCATTGAAAGATATGGTAGCGAACCGATAGCAGTGGTCTCGTAATTTTGTATCTGGTCCGAGTGCTTGAAACAGTATGTATGTACAGTTAGATTGTGTACTCTGTGTTGATCTCCCTCAAAATGGTCCATATCCACCTTATTTGCACCATATTCTCACTGAATTTGTATACACTGCAAGTTTGGTGATGATCAGGAAGTTTGCTACGGTGATGATGATGACTGAAGGAATATACACTTGACTGAAAGCAGCAGCCTTCATGTCGTCAGTTCTTATCCGATCAGAATGGTATGTATGCACAGTTTAATTTATGTACTCTGTGTTGACGACGCTTTATTTGCTTCCCTCCAATGAGTTGTTATCCCTGTCCATCCTGTGCATTCTCGTTTTGTCTTAATTGTAAGTTTCTCAGCGATCAGCGAAGTTCGCTTCACTTTATCTCGCTGTACGATGATGATTTGGCACCACATTTTTGGTTGCATATAACCAGATAAAAGAGTATCTCAGGCAACGTCACTTCTGTTTGATCCGGATCTCGGTCTTTATTTTATACATTTATGCTTGTCTGGTTTAAAGTAGTGTTGGTTGGTGAGTATTACTGCATCTTCATACAGCGATCCTGTAGTGCTAATGCGAAATTATTGGTGCACAAATTCATGGACATGTAAACATCTGCAGTGGTGCGTTGCGTTCGCCAGGACTGACTCGCTGGAGAAAATAAGTAGAATGCATCCCGGTCACCGCGTTTCTGTGTAGCTGAGAACGCCTGTCTAAGTACTGCGATTGCTGAACCTCGAATAGCCCGGTTCACGCACTCGAGGGCGTTTACTCAGTTTCTTTTGGCTAAAGCCCTTTCAGGCTTATCGCAAACAACCCAGTTATTCTTCTTTTCAACTTTCTACTTTTGATTCACACTATACGGTGAGGTAGTTTAGTGCTCATCAACAACAACGGAGCAAAGCGTTGCTGCTGGAACGTCTTGTCCATGTGTCGACTAACTAAAGTTTACTCTAGAATAAGGACAGATTATTTAGTGTCCAATCAGTTTTTTTTTCAAAGTTGTTTCAATTTCATCACCTAAGTACATCAAGAAGATATGTAACAATGACGCCCGCACGTACAGTCCGACCTAGTCGAACGGAACTAGTTGACCTTTTACTTCAACTTTGCGACCATCACGACTTGTCCCTGTCGATAGGTTGCAATGTGCAGTAGGTGAGTGGGTGAAAATGGTTTCTTATTTAGGTGCGTGTTATTGATACGCTGAACAAACTACGATAATCCGAAGCAATTTTCTCTCACGAAAATGTCCAGAACTCAAGTTCTTTCCTCCTTGAGGGCATGATCTGGTGAAGTACAATGTGACCAGTTTCGTAGAATTCTACCAGTAGAGTACTGTATCTCATTGTAGTGCTACATGACTATCGTCTGTGATTACTAGCCTCATATTTCTGGTTTTGTGTTGCTACGTGCAATTTGGTTGCAACTGTGAGTAACTAGTAAAGTTTGTCGAGCATTCTCATGGTTCTCGACGTAATTCAAAGTTAGCGCCTTGTCTTTGTCCATAGTCTTTTAATACGGAGACTACACCGGTGGAAATTAGGTTCTCGGTGTTCGCATGGCATCGTGTCAGTGATTCTGGAAAATACCGGTGTTGTACTGATTTTATTGTTGTTTCTTGTACTAAAACCAACCACATCTGTGAACATCGTTTGCACTTTTCCCTGCAGGTTCTCCTCGGTGGTGGGCAAGAAGCGCATGAAGTTACGACAACCGCTGTTGGACAGGGTAAATTCGATGCCCGATTCTATCACTTGATATATCAAGAAGAATTCGGTCGCGTCAAAGGCCATTTCGGTCCAATCAACAGTGTGTCTTTCACTCCTGATGGGAATGGGTGAGTTTTGCATAGCGAATTTAAGGTCGAACAACGACATTCGGTGACACGTGCGAGTTCTATCCGGATACTTCAGAAAGCTCCGTTCTGCGACGGTTAGGGGGTTCTAGTGCTCGCTCCGAGAAATACTTTTCAAGCATATGCTGTATTAACCGAACTTACAGTCTTCGTGGCGAGGATGTTTTCGCCAAAGTGCGTTAGCGAGCAGATAACATAAGGATATAAAGCTGGGTTGATGAACAACTGGATCGTCTTAAGAACTACCCACCAGAAACTGGTGTACAACATAACTCCACGCCATCCTGATGAGATGCGGGACAAACCTGAACTTGTAAGTCATAACCCGTCATTGTAAAATCGGTTTTAACACACCTTTTCGAGTCAGTCATTTGCCACTTCATGTCTGTGCTCGCGAATTCCCAGGAAAAGTCCTCTATTGTGGTTTGGCCAACCTGGCAGTAATGTGCCTACGCACAAAGCCTTGATCGATTCGCCACTTGTCTCATGAACCGCTTGGCGCGAAGTTTCGTGTCAGCCGAATCCACCTAGTACCTCCTATCTTATCCTAGCTCTGTTTATTGAGTTTTTCCTATTCTATTTGTTCAATACTACAATTTATACTTACCAGGTGGGTTATCGCGCATTCCGTATTCAAACGTGGCGGTGAAACCGAAAATCATTCAGCAGCTAAGATGTAGTACCACTTACATTTAGTGTGCTGGTTGCATTTTCCGTTGGTGCGTACGAAGCTCTTGGAATGGCAACGGACAAATACTGTTGCCTCAGGAAATATACTTTCGAGCTTTAACTACTCATTAGTAGTAATACAAAGACTGAGTATTTTCACCTATTGGTCCACCGTGATTGATATTTTGTTCACCCTTTGTTTCAGGTTCGCCACTGGCGGTGAAGAAGGCTACGTCCGGTTGCACCAATTCGATCCAGAATATGCGGATTTGGATTAAAGCCCTCCACACTCATTCACCCATATAATTCCTGTGACACTTCTGGGAATCACTCGAATACTACCTGTTGTCACCTGATATTCATTCTTTCTGAAGCGTTTTGGTTGATCTTTGACCACGGAAATGTGGTCCTGGTAGCTTCTAATTTCCTGTTCGCCTCTGATCAGCAAGTTGCTTTTCTTTAGAATTTAACCAAATGAGCTGAGCCGAACAATTTCCTGACCCGTTGAAAGGAGGACTATTCCGTGCGATCCAAATTAAAAATAAATATATCTACTTTGAGGCTGTTCCGAAGTAAAGCCAAGGCCTTGACAGTCACATGTAATTCGAATCACTACGGATATTATTCGTGCCGAATCGCCACAATTACTAGGTCTCAGTATCTTGTCATAGGATTCGTCAACTCTGTGTGTGTGGAGTCACTGAAGTGCCCAGGTGAGATATGGATAGTGTTGATCCAGCGACGGAAAAAGGGCTCAACACCAAATTTCGGTTTACGTTTTTATGACCATCAACCATTCACTACCTGCAACAATTTTGGTCGCTGTCTTTCAGCGATGATGTTCGTTGAGCAAGGTCTTTTTCTAATTCATCTGTGGTGCATTGCAACTAATCGGTCGGTACATATTCCAACACAACGAATAAGCACGGGAAATTCGTTCAGTAGTTTTTGATTCCCACGGAACCGTCGAGGCCTACAAAGCCCAGTTGGCTGCTAACCGGAGTCCAGTCAAGAAGCGAAATCGCAATAATTAACATAATCTCGACACTAACAACATCGCACGCTCTAGATACGGAATCGGTTGACACACGGAGAGTTAAACGTGAGGATAAGGTCAAATCTAAAGCACGTAAATTGATTCATCTATGTGCGTTTATAGGCTGATTTTAATGCATTCAGACATTAAATACGGCTAACTGAAATGAAGTTTTGGTTGTATCACTTACAGATTCTGATTTTTTCAACTTGCTAATCAACTGCTGTGTGATATTCTGTGAGTGACGTAAACGGAAGGAATCTCGTGTGACATGAGAGCGAGAGAAAACTATTCATATGGGAAAAAGGGGTTTTTAAATGGATGCCTGATACTTTAGGGCACGAGATTTTTGACGACTGCACACACCGACGATATTGTTCTTTAGGAACCCTAACCGGTTACTTCGGCTCAAGTCTGACTCGTAAGTCAGCAAGGTATAGATCCAACGCGGGAATGTGACCGGAGCAACCTAGAGAGCGCTTCTAGAGGCCTATCACGCAAGTCGTTTGGACCGGCTATTGATAATACCAATTTCAGAACCAAAAGCTCCAGACCGGTGAGTAACGGCAACTTTTATTTGCAGTTATGTATGCTAAACCTATATATCGCGAGATCAAGTGGTTTGGCGTCAGTTCCAGGCAGTAGAACTAGATATCTTGTGAATCCGCGATATACCGAGGGACGACTGTACCACTGTTAGACTGTATTTTCGGATATTTGATGAGTGCGGCGTTTGGTGAAGATCCGTCTAATTATTGGAACCACCTGTAAATATCCAGTGACCATAGTTACATTCGTGTTGCTTCACACAATTTTCTCCTTGTGTTGCAAATATAGTAACGACATATAATATTGGCTCTAGGAAATTGTCAACAATGTTGCAGTCCGTGAATTCTGGACTCGGCATTTATTTCTTTTACGTCATGCAGTACCGGTGATTTGTCCATTACGGCCCGGTGAGAAAATCACTCATCCTCTTTTTTCGATTTATGGCTTTTTTCTTACTGTATACTAACAGCGTGCGTAGCATCCCAGTGAGCTGTTGGAGACTCACTAGTTAGCTTAGTTCGCCGACAATTGCTATTTAGGTAGAAATGGAAGTATGAGTCAGCACACATTAAGTGGCACACCTGGAAACGTTTTGTTTCCGAGACGCGGTTACTACTATCTCTCCCTGTGTGTGTGGCGATTCAGCAACGTTGTCCCGTTTCGTGGAGCTCTGGGACACTTATAGTGTCGCTCATAACCGTCTATCAGAACGAATAATGTGAATTAGTACCGAAAAGCATTGATTGTCATCGGGAGAATTTCGGGACAAGCACATCCAAACAGCTTTTCTCACGTGAGAAGCTCTCAGCTCCTCATAAGCCAAAATCATGGAATTCATTTCCTTTTTTATTGAATCCTAAAATGAACTGATCGCGGTTTGTAATTCTCTGCTTAATTTGCTGAGCGACGGGGAGAGTAGGTTTGGATTAGTAACTCGTTGGTTGGATACGTATTCCAAGATCGCAGGAAATACAAGCAGCCGGGTATTCTGTAGCTTAGCTCAGTGTCGATCAAAACGGTTTGCGGTGCTACATATGTATGCTGTAGCCGTTGTACAAGATCAATTTTTTCTTCAGAATAGATAAATCACTCCAACTCGGAAAGACCATATGAAGATTTCATGGGAGAATTCGTCGTGTACAGAGCAAAAGCTAGGAAGCGCCATACAGCTGTCGTGACGTGGTTGGTCTCATCAGTAAAGTTATCAAATTATCACTCTGGGGGACGTGCTCGAATCCCACTACTGCCGTTTGACTGTACACATAAATGTGTTGTAACGGCAACCCCTTCATTGGTCGCTTACCTCTTCCTGAATATTGTATCCTTGTATTTACAATTAAAAAGAGTAAAATTGAAGAGAGAATTCTGAGGGTCGTGATCACCGCAATTGTGGCGGACTAAATACTAAGCATCTGTTTGCCAAATTTTTTGCTTCACGAAGTAGTGGTGAATTGCTGTTCTGTCGGCGTGGACTACCGCGAATTATGCCGTGCCCCAGTCTTATGTACCCAATTGGAAACTCATCTTTCCCAAAGGTTGTGTTAGCTATGCTGTTCTCATGTTTGTTGTCGGACTGCGTTTGGCGTACTCCGTGTTTCTACACCAGTATAACTATGCAAAACTGAATTAAAGTTACATGTGATATCTTTACATACATGAGACTCTAGAGTATTGTTGTTCGTTGTCACTCACGCGATTTCTATGAGATAACAGAAGTATCAGCTTTCAAGAGGTTTCCATGACAAAAAATTGACTATGCTTGCTGTCTTCAACGATCGAGAGATATCCGAAGCGAGGTTTGGGTAAATCCAGCTCATAAGTACTTGTTTTGATGAATTTTAGTCAGTATATAACTACCCGAAATCCAAAGTATTGAGAAATTTTACGCCGCCTTAACTCTGATCAGGTTAATCAACTAAACCCTTCAAACGGATGCCGGGGTTGACCAAACTTTATCGAAATGCAGTCGCCTGGAAGTTCCGCGATCGCGTCACCATTAGTGGTTGAATTTTGCTCTCCTGGAAGCAACTGGTTACACTAAAATAATTCTGCGCATTAGGATCAGCACACAATTTTGCTGACTTAGCAATCGATCCATTGTTCACGGATAAGGGAGCGAATTGGATTTACGATGACCGTCCACCAGAATCTGTGAAAAAATATCTCATACGTAGATTTGTCTGGCTTGCATTTAGTTCCGTTTGCTCTGTTCCCGTTGTCAGGACCTATGAGACGCAACCTAAACTGGAACACTGCCTAGAATGAAACAGAGAAATTGTGCGTGATGATTGATATCACGGAAAATCGTAATTTAAGGGTAAAAACACCGATATATGTGAAACGCAGTTTATTACGGCCCAATTCACAGAAACACTGCTGGTAGAGATACTGCCGCATACATGTGGGAGCATTGGCGATTTTCTCCAGCGTCGTTATCATTTAAGATCTTACTATTAATTTCGTCCTGTTATGGAGTTCTGTTACGTGTGTGTGCGTCAAGTAGACAGTGCTGATTTCGAGCCCCCCTCCCCTCAAAAAAAAACAATGAGGTTCTATTGAAATTTTCCGGAACTACAATTTCGCAATGGCTTACGGAATTCTGACCGATAATTTCGTTTTTTTCCACTTTGTACATCTATCAAGTCGGCACTAATGTTTGTCCTATTTTTAGCTATCCATTTGGTTGATCAATGAACACTTGGTTTTAATCACTGGTATAACTGATTTGGTCGTTCTTTCGAGGGAATCTTAACGCGATCTAAACGACTCAGTTTCCTGGTCGGAATTTGCGTTACATACTTCGACAAACATCGCAACCGGAGACAGCCTATCTACTGGCATGTGTAACATCTGACTCAGGTATTGCAGTGTATACTCTGCGTTCATCTTTCATCCGTATGGACCGAATGTATACATTCAAGAGTTTGACAAAGAGAAATACTGTAACCTAACCCAGATCAAAATCCAGCCTCAGACAACCGGAAAATACACTTTTGCTTACGAGAGGCTTCTAGGGAATTTAAGTTAACTTCATTTCTTTGTGGTTTTCATAGGAGCATCTATTCCCCTAGTGAATAATCAAGGAAACCGACTTGTATTAATTACCGGGAACTTATTCACTTTCTTCTACTCAACCCAAGAGTTTTCTCAACTCCGAATCGTTACTCCACAATCGTTGAACGAGATTGGACACAGTCCACCTTTTGCAATGACATACATGAACAGTTATTGTCGTTCGAAAAGATGAAAGTTGGTGAATTTAATGTCGATTGTATCCGGTTGAACCACGTCCGAGAAGTGTACTTCTCCTCGTCCTGATGTTGGATTAGTGTACTGTCTTATTCCGGAGCTCAGTCTCTGTAAACGAACACTTTTGATTAGATAATCAAGAAGCAAGCCCTCTACCCTGACACTGAGTGTATTACCGAAACCAGCAACTAAACGAGTTTTAGACGCCAATGCGCCTGTCACACAGATAATGAAGTCAGATCTGAAGGATGAAGTTGGTTGTTTGAAGTGTGAAGTTTAGCTTTTTTCGAAAACAGCTCACATCTAAATTGAAAGTTTCAGTGTGCTATCTAATATTGCGTTTTGACTATTCCGATTGAGTGCTCAGATATCAAACGCGACCAGAAGGGGAATCTTACATTGATGAGTCCATTAGACTGTGCTATGCTCAGCGTTGTTAAGTCC